TTGATAATTTTGTTAAGAGTACAGGTATTAGTGCTGCTATTGTAAAAACTACGCAGGACAACAGCACTGCAGAGAGAAGGAAAACTTGACACAAACCCTTTTTTTTTTTTTAACGTGTGGAAATCCCCTCGGACCGTCACCCCTCCGGGGTTTGCGGCGGGGTGGTGTGTCGGACTCGGACCGACTAAAACCACACGGTGTGCCACTCTGCGCCTGTAACAGGAGGGATCCGGGAACAGCTGTTGTTAAGACATCCGGACCCCTCCTAGCGCCAGCCCGCTCCTGGTGCGGGCACCGTCTCAATGTTTTTCCTCTCTTTATAGGCGACGTCCGGCACACGCGGACGCCGCCCCCTCGCGGCTGGCCAAACTAATGCGGGTGGAGGGGAAACCCACCCCGTCCACCCGCGGCCACACTCAGGGCGGCATGAGGCTGTGGTAGGCGGGCCTCCGCCGCCCGGTTCGCCGGCGGCGGATCGGGTCCGAGTGGAGGTCGTCCTCCCGGGCCCTCTCCGCCGCCTCCTTCCGCGAGATTACTACCTCGCAGAAGGTTGCGACCGCGGTAAAACAACTGTCGCTACCGGCCATGGAGCGTACTACGGCCGGTAGCGAGAGATCCACTCCGATGACTGCAGTGAGGGCCCGGCGCTGCGCCGCCCATACGGGGCAGACCGCCAGCGTGTGCTGGGCCGAGTCCTCACCGCAGTCGCAGTGGTGGCAGACGGGACTCAGTTCCCTCCTAGCGACCGTGTGCAGGTACTTTCCGAAGCAACCGTGCCCGGAAAGCACCTGCGTCAGCCGGAAGGAAAGGGTCCCGTGCTGCCGCCCTGCCCACTCGGCGATGACCGGCTGGAGAGCCTCCATGGCGGCGAAGCCAGCGCGTGGAGTCTCCAGCCGGAACGACCAACGAGCCATCGTGGCTCGGCGAGCGGCTTCGCGCCACTCGCGCACATCCTCGGGCGGAGGGCGAAATCCGCTCTCCGCCCGGAAGTCAGCCACTCGCCGATAAACTTCGGCCAGCACTTCCGCCTCCAAATCCCACGGGGGAGTTCCGGCCAACGCGCATGCCACCTCCGTCGACACGGTGCAGTAACCGCGTATGGCTCTGACCGCCATTACCCTCTGAGGGCGCCAGAGGCGTACCCTATTCTGGGCGGTCAGAGCCGCCGCCCACACCGGTGCACCGTACAGTGCCATTGACCGGACAACCCCCGTGTACAGCCGTCTTGTCGCGACGCTGGGTCCACCCATATTGGGCAAAAGTCGCCCTAGGGCAGACGCAGCGCCGACCAGCTTTGGAGCAAGCTGTCGGAAGTGCTCGTCGAAGAGCCACCTCCCGTCGAGGATCAGGCCCAGATATTTCATCTGGGCCCGAACCGGTACGAGGACCGAGTTGACCACGATTGAGGCGCCAGGGGGTGGACCACGACGGGGCCCATGAAATAACACCCTATACCCTATACCAACCCGTCTGGCCAGCGTGGTATAGTAGGCCAAAACCTCCTTTCTAAGGAGAGGCTTATGTCCAGCAGTGGACTATTAAAGGCTGTTGATGACAGGTATTAGTGTGGTAGATTTTTCGATAGCTTAGCAGCCAGAGGTCGTGAGTTTGATTCCCACCCAGGACAAATAATTGTGTGATGAGCACGATCATTTGTTCTGGGTCTGGGTATAATTTATCTTGGGCGTACTTTATCTATAATATGTATGTTTTTAGAAATATAAATATAAGCATGTTTATTTTTTAGAAATATATAAGTATGTTTATCAGCAGTCTGGTTACCATAGTACAGGCTCTGCCTAGTTTGGTATAAGACGGCCGTGTGTAAGATGTGTGAGGTTATTATTATTTCATGAAGAAATTAATAGAAAGTCACTTCAGGGAAAATATTCTAGTACTTTGTAACTAGCACGTAACTTATGCTAGCTAACATATTTCACAAAGGACGCACCCGAACGGCTTGGGTCAGCGTCAGTTAATTTCCAGCTGTGTATGAATAAATTGGCTGGTTTGCTCTGTTAGGGATGAAACATGCGGTTACTAAACAACTACACAATACATTTGTTTTACGGAATGTCAACAGTTGCAGTTGTCACTGACCTCAGGGGCAGTTTGTTGTAAAACACGTAATTTATGCCCTTTTTACGTTATATTTTTGACATTTGTATGTATGACACTGCTATTGTAAAAATAGTGAACAAGTTAAGAGTTATGGATGTATTTATCTATAGTTATAACGTTTCTGGGATCCTTTTTAAATCACTACTTTTACGGTGAAATTAATTACTAAAGAAGTGGTATACTTAATGTTTTTTTTAAACACGATTATTTGATCCAAAATAGGGCAGGGTCTGTATTATGGTAACCAGACTGCTGATAAACATATTTGTATATATATATTTCTTATGGTAGAGAGGGCAAACGAGCAGACGGGTCACCTGATGGAAAGTGACCATCGCCGCCCATGAACTTCTGCAACTCAGGAGTCAAAAACGCGTTGCCGGCTTTTTGGAAGGAGTACGCTCTTTTCTTGAAGGTTTAAAGGAAGAAATTTCTAACCACATACATATTATAGATGAACAGAGACTCGTGTGACAGAGAATGGTGCTCATCATACAATTATTTGTCCTGGGAATAGACAAAATACTTGTTCAGGAGACGCTATGCGGATGATAGTGCGGGAGATGCTCTTTATACCAGCCGCCCCGATATTTCTCGGGAATACGTAATCAAGAGTCGAAGCAAACTTGTGTCTGAAATTGAAACTTCTTTAGTGGAGGTTTCAGATTGGGATCGACTAAACCTAGTCCATTTTAACCCAAAAAAAGACAGGATTGCGCGTTCAGTGCAAAAAAGATACCGATTGTCGTATCACCTCGGTTTGGGAGCACCTCCCACTAGCTCACTACCTTAGTCGCAACTTTTCGCCATCGTTCCAAACGCAAAATTTTCATTATCATCACTTGGATAATTAGCGTTCGAGACAATTTTTGCCTCGCACAACTAACCTGTGGCATAATTTTTGAATGCGGTATTTCCGGATCGTTACGACCTTCAAACCTTCAAGAAAAGAGCGTACTCCTCCACTTTCCATCAGATGACCCGTCTGCTCGTTTGCCCCCTCTTCTATAAAAAAAAAATACCCCAAGGGCCTCGACTTTTATTATCGTGAGGTACGAAAGTATGTAAGAAGTATTAAAGTTAAATACTCAATAAATAAAAACACCTAAAACTTCTTTATAAATATTTTAACCGTGATTGTAACTAATTAAATATCACAACACCATAACTTTACAACTTAATAAAGACAAGGAAGTGAAAACATTGCGTCTGCACCATATTGATTAGATCCCTTCCCAAGGGATGAACATCTTAGTTCGCTACGTGTCCAGGATACTGAACACGTACTGCGAACTAATTGAATACCGCCATGACATTATATTAAATTGAACTTATTACACAAGATGGCCGAACTTCACGAGGGTAATATAGAATAACCACCTAAGGTTTATATTACATAATGTCTATAAATAAACGCCATCGAAATGTTTGGTTGTAAGATCATTATAACAGCTTCTTACTAAATGCAAGCATACTTTGCATATTATTGTAAAGGATATCGTTCTGTGTAAAGTACTAAATAAATAGTATACAGGTTTCATTTGGACATTTTTGTTTCTATTTTGTCTCTTTTTGACAAATACTTATATTTTAATAGATCCGTAACCTAAACTATACGAAACTAGTGGATAATCTGTATCTAATAATTTTGGTTTTCCGTGTGGTGACGGATTAAGAATACAGAGTGTCACCACCCCTATTCATCCCGTGGGTGTCGTAAGAGGCGACTAAGGGAGCAAACTACGAAGAACAACAGCACTGCACAGAGAAGGAAAACTTGACACAAATCCTATACCAACCCGTCTGGCCAGCGTGGTATAGTAGGCCAAAACCTCCTTTCTGAGGAGAGGCCTATGTCCAGCAGTGGACTAGTAAAGGCTGTTGATGATGATCTGAAATCGGTATAATGTTATCCCTGATACAGGAATGTAACTAGATCCGAAATGTTATATGCGTAACGTCTCTCAGGTTTAGAGAATGTGCAAAAGAAATAAACATACACACATACACTCGAAATACTTAACCCTTGTTCTGAAGCAGTCTAGTAAGAAGTACTTTTGTCTGTACCTTTCAGGGAACTGACGGATGAACTGAATTTTGTGAAAGATAGGTGTCGTTACTATTAACTTGGGCTGTTTTTTTTTATAGAATCATAAATTAAATGGTTTTGCTCATATTAAAAGAATAGTTTCTAAGCTCTATGAATTGGTTCGTAACTTTAAAAATACTAAAAAGATTTCTATAATTATTTTTATGCGTATGGATTCCAATGTGACAGAGACTGTACATATGTATTACAGAAACAGCCAGACACAGAACAGTTCATTACACGATTTCTTATCCTGAGTAGAACTTAGTAGTCAAAATTACTCACCAATAAATCAACAGAATCGTCAATCAATGGTCCTCTTTTGTTTTAAGAGTGGTCCATCTATCTCTACAGCAATGAGGCGTCCTCCTGTCCAGCACTATTGCTGAGAATGATGGTAATTCTTTTGTTCGAAAACATGCTAATCACAAAATAAAATTTAGTCCTGTTAAATACTGCGTTTACAGAAAAGGAAACGTTGTTTGACAAGACTAAACAAATTTTAGTGATTTTTACTTTAATTTATAGAGTTTTCGAACAACAGAGTAAGCACCAATGTCGACTTAGAATTTTGTAAATTAAACTCTTTATTTTTACAGTTTCTTGTTATTTGCTTAGGCCTTCTTTTTATTCAATTTATGTATTAGTAATTGAATAAAAATTCCATGATTTCACAAGGTTCAAAATATACAAATCCGAATGCACAATGCGGAGAAATCCTTCCTTAAAAAAATCCTGAAAACGGCTATACTACAAAAGATGATATTTATTCTTTTCATAGCTATATGATTTAAGATATCAAAGTACATACCCGATCACACGGCGCTGGAGCATGCAGTTGGCGGGCCTGTCCTCTGCCGAGCGCGTCGCGTTTCCTCTGAGCGCTGAACAGCCGCAGCTCCTTGCGCTCCTCATCAGATAACGCGTGACAATAACGAACCTGGAACAGTTCACCAGAGATATTGACATTAACGTTCTCCATTACAACAAGAGTGAGAAAGACTATATGAGTGGATGCAAAAGCATGTGTGTTTTTAATAACGATTACAAAACCGTAATGTTACAACCGATCCCAAATTATATTTAGGAAAGAGCAGGCAACTGATGATGGTGTATTAATGTCGAAGTCGAATTCTAGATCTAAGGGGTTAAGACATTGTGTCTTGCTCTACTGGGTATCCTTCATCATCAGCCTTACCGTGGGATAGCCATGCTTCGGCACGACTGAGCCGGCTCGATCGGAGTGATACCACGGCCTCACAGAAAACTGGTGTTAAGCAATCTTTCGTTGCCTTTCACTGAGTGAGTGAGGTTACCGGAGCCCAAATGCCCCCTCCCGCTGACTTGTGACTTTTGATTTGCAGGTGTTCATGGGCGGCGGTAGTTGCTTACCATCAGGTGACCCGTCTGCTCGTTTGCCCCTTAGATATACCATAAATAAGCCTATCATATACGAGTATAACTGTTGATCGTAGGTCTCCCCAGAGAAGCACCAACTATTCCGGTCCAGGCAAGTGGCTGGCAGCGGCAAGATGCGGACTGGATACCTTTTAAATATGAATTACTAATTACCTCGTTATCCTGTGGGGGAAGTTGTTGCAACAACTGCTTTAGCCTGTATCTCTCTCCGACGCTATTCACGTAAGGGACCTTGTCTTCTGGAAGCGCTGAGAAGTACAGGTGCACCTGGAACATTAGAAGACATAGATTTAGGACAAGCTGGAAAAATTGGCGAGATAAATTTAAAATCTCATCAACAGCCTATACTAGTCCACTGCTGGACATAGGCCTCTCCTTAGAAAGGAGGTTTTGGCCTACTATACCACGCTGGCCAGACGAGTTGGTATAGGGTTTGTTTCAGGTTTTGCTTCTCTTTGCAGTGCTGTTGTCCTGCTTAGTTTGTTCCCTTAGTCGGCTCTTACGACACCCACGGGATGAATTGGGGTAGTGACAATTTGTATTCTTAATCCGTCACCACACGGACTCAAATGAAATTGTTGTTCTGAGTCTGGGTGTTCTTTGTATCCGTTTACACAGGCTATATCATTACTAATAGAGTTGTCACATTGAATTTGAATTTGATCGTTGAATTTGATCACAAATCCTTAGCCATTACGCTACTGCCGCTGCAGAGATGTAACGAGTCTACGAAAATAATTTATTTCCCTTGCTGAACTAATATCTTCTGTGATATTAAATTAGTACGTGGCAGAAATAAGAAATATCGTGTGGGGCCCTGTGGGGTACTGATAGTGGGATTATGAGACTAACTGCACAGAAATATTGTCGTCTTAACTGGACCCTATTGATTTAGTAGACTGCTCATGAGGTACCATATATAATTATGGTTTAGTCGTAATGTTATTTATTAGCCTGTGGCTTAGGGTTCTATTGTTATAATGAAAAGAGAATGAAGAGGATAGGGATAGCTTGTAAAATATGCATTATTTGTAAAAAAAAAACCACATGAGTACATATTATATTCAAATAATGCCATGCTAGGTATGCATATAGTTTTTAGTAAATTAAATTACTATTCTTATCTTACTGATCGTTTAAGAGATTAGTGAAACAATTAAACATAAATAAAACTTGTTTTATTGCGTTTATACACAAACTCGTATATTATTCGGATTTAACATTTAATAATAGGTCTTTACCTATGAAATTGCCATTATGTATGTAATAAGTGAAAGTACTTATTTTTTCAAACTTTTTTATTTCTGTTATTCGAAGTAATCACCCATGCAATCGACGCATCTTTGCCAACGCATTGGCAGTTTATTGATTCTTGTAAAAATCAGCTGGACGGGAGGCAACAAACTCTTTAAAGGCATTTTGTACTGCCTCTCGGGAATTGAATTTTTTACCCACTAAAAAGTTGTCTAAATTTTGGAAAAAGTAATAGTCGGTAGGTGCAAAAATAAGTACTTTCACTTATTGCATACAAAATGGCAATTTCATAGGTAAAGACCTAATAGTTTAATGAGTAAGCTTATAATAACAAGAAGTTGCCGGGCCAGGGCCTCAATTCTGATATTTATAATATTGTATCAATAGACTGTCGATGGAATGTCGTCGGAATAGTTTTGCACTTTGCCTATTCTACTAACTACGTAAGACCAATAGCCGATGACTTGTCACTGATACAAATGTCGTCTATGTCTTTGTAACAGTTTGGTAAACGGTACGTTTTAATTTTATAAGAAAATAATAAATTTAATTTGTGGCAGGGATGGCAATGTTGTTGATATCACCATTGATGACCTATATTACTAGGTATATCGACAGACTTGACACTGTGAATTAATGTTAGTAGAATACTGATATTTTGACCGATGTCATGGGCGTCTCAATAGCGTGTCAATGGAATGAGTGGCATCGCATTATCATAAAAAAATAATAGTTTAAAACCTTTTTACTATTGACAACAGGCACCCAACGCTTGTTTTCAAATTTATTAAAATTTATTGTCTATTTTTTAGTTTGGTTTTCTATAAAAAGCGTGTTATTTAGTTTTTATAAACATTTTTTTTTTAAATTTTATTTTTTTATTAGTGTATTGTCATCGGTCCTCGATATATCTACAAAGTTTGAACTAATTCTGACCGTTTACAGTCAGTCAAAATCACGCCCAAAGGAGTCGGTTACAAATAAACCTACAAACAAACATACAAGTGAAGCTAATATATAAAAAAAAAAGTGTAAAATAATTGATGCCCTGTTAGTTAGATTGTGAGACCGTGCTATTGCACAATCATTACCAGTCTTGCTGGCTCATATTTATATATTCCAAAATACATCTTCAAATATTATAGATAAATTTCACCCAAACACAGAAAAAATTATCGTGATCACACAAATATTTGTCCTGTGTAGGAATCGATCCTACGACCTGTGGCGGTACAGTCAGTATCATTATCTACTATACCTAAAAGCCACTCAAAATCAACCAAAGTCATTGTTTAACTTAAAATTCATTCTGTTGTTTCTTTGCTAGTTTATTACCGACGAGTCCCCAAGCGCAGGGGGACAGCTCGGGAGAGTAATTTTAATTTTTTGCTCCGTTGCCTTCGAGTTAATACTTTATTTTTACTGTAATTATAAATACCGAATACGCTTGTATTTTGGTATTCAAAATGCGGCGTCATTACTGTCTGTAGGGTGGCCATGTTAAAGTTAAGAGATAAAACTTATGTGGTACTAATTGGTACCAGCGAATTCGTTTGCGTGGAATTTGAATTGAAAATGTTTGTTCAATTTGTAGAATTCATGATAAATAAATAGTGTAGTACGGTATGGAACTGCAGTCCATGAGAATTCGGCTACGATTCCTGGACCGGGAAAAAAATTATAGGGGTTTTCTGAGGAAAAATGGCCTAGTTACTCCTTATATGGACAGCTAGTAGTAAAATATTATCAAAATCGGTCCAGCCGTTTTAAAGATTACCCGGAACAAACAGACAGATAAAAAATATTTAAACTGGTTTTTATTCATAGGTATCGTGCAAATAACCGTGTGAGCATGGAAAAGAGCTATTATTTAGACATTACAGAGTTCAATTTTATTTATTTGTATAGAGTATCGATATTTCTGTTTTTTTGTTATTATGTTGTTAATTTTATTACTAAATTTACCGGGGTTACTAAATTTTTACTTTTATTTTATAGTACAGTGGCAAACGAGAAGACAGGGTCACTTGATGTTCAGTAACCAGCACCGGCCATCGACATAATATGCAACTCAGTAGACACAACTGCGTTACCATACTTTGAGTGCGTCTTCCGTCCAGAATAAGGAGGGTTATTTGGGTCCAGGTAACCTAACTTACTCGGTGAAGAGCAACGAAAGAAATGCTTAAAACCGGTTTTCTGTGAGGTCGTGTTATCACGCTATTACAAGTTCAATTAACAATTTGTTATGTAATGTAATTCGAGCAAAACTTTTGATTAACAAATAGATATTGTAACTACTTATATATAAACCTTAATTAACTCACAAATTTCTAAAAAGGACACTGATTATACCAAGAGAAAACAACTAATACTTTGGGTCTTAGAAGCGTTATGCCATAAAATTCAAAGCTCAAGTCATGTTTATTATTTATTTATTTTGTTTATTTTTAAAAAAGACAACGCCCGCATTAGGAATATATCCTGTGTCGCGGTGGACTTTACAAACATATGTACATGAAACGGACACAAGGAACACCCAGACTCAGAACAACAATTTGTGGATCACACAAAGTGTCGTCCCATGTGGGGATCGGACCCACAACACTCAGTGTAGTACTAAGCGGCGAGGCAACTTCTTAAACCACTACCATCTAAATACTAGCCATCCGTGCAGTCATGTGGACTTGAAAAATAATAAAAAATATATTTAAAGACTGTCTCATAAGATTATACAAATTCTGTGGTTACCATATTAGTCGGTGACCCCCCGGGGCCTGTTTGGCCCTATGATTACAATATTTTAAAGTTATTATAAGTAATTTCCAATACGATTGATATTATGCATCGACTGGTAATAATGTATGCAAAGTGAAATGATTATGAGTGGACAGAGCTACAGACAGCTATAGTATAAGAAACAGAATAATTTTAACTCTTATGTTACTGTCGTGTGACGGAACGATTTGTTTAACATAGGGTCATTTTTGCATGTTTTTAACAAACTTAAAAAAAAGGCGGCAATTCTAATGTCTGTTGTAGTGTTTTTTAATGTTGGTAACTTTTGGTCTCTCGGCAAAAACAAAAAAAAAACACTTAAAACTAAACTTAAGGTACCTGGCATAACCTTTTAATATTTATGGAACTTTTTTTATTAAATGATAAATGATATTTATTACTGCCAGTAAATCTTTTTAGATATTTTTACAAGTCGGACTTTACAGCTTGAAGAAGCCGGCATTTCCTAAGATTCACTCTGGAAAAAACGCCAAAACAAACCACAGAGCTGTCTTTAGAGCTGTATTAGTCCGTAAACATAGTTAAATAAAACTTTGCGAGTACAGTATAGGGTCTGGGTAGACCTTTTGGGAAAGGACCATAGTTTTGAGTCGGCCTGTCCATACAGACGGCATACAGGCCCCAGTCATCGTGTAGCTTAACCAATATTGGTCAAGATCGATATCCCGAAGCACGATACTACCGCCAGCAGGACATTTGAGTAGGAATTGAAAACACTTAAAACCATATTCTTTAAGTATCTGTCCTAAACACAAAGTGAAAAAATGTAAAGAATTACAAGAGTTGACACTGAAGTTCATCATCATCATCATCAACAGCCTTTAATAGTCCACTGCTGGTCATAGGCCTCTCCTTAGAAAGGAGCTTATGAGCTTACTATACCACGTAGGTCAGACGGGTTGATTTAGGGATTTTTTTCAGGTTTTCCTTCTCTTTGCAGTGCTGTTGTCCTGCGTAGTTTACTCTCTTAGTCGGCTCTTACGATCCCCACGGGATTAATAGACGACCCATTTGCTCAATTGCCCCTATACCATTATAAATATTTTTTGTAAATGTCCTTCCTGTGTTCTTTTGTCGATTGCATATATTATAATTTCATCTTGGTCCTTCGAGCATACACTACAAACATTAGAATTCAAATTGTCATACAAAGCCTACTAAAACAAGTCCAGCTTTCCAAAAACACTTTCATTCCAGTTCTTGACGGCGATGGCGACCAAAAAAGAGCAAACTTTTAGAAACAATAGCTCTGTGCACAATGCACCATTGTGGTGTGCGGAGACGTCACAATGGCGAACACTTTTGTTCGTCCCCACGGTCGAAGGTAAAAATTCTGTGTCCATTTGTTCGATGACAATTCGTAGTAATGTTGAATACGCTAAAAATAATATTTTTGCATGGTTTTTATAGTTTTAAAGCAAAATGGCTCTTTTTAAATAACATATGCGAATGTTTTATATTACTAGCAAGCAGTCCTGGCTTGGTACGGGTGACAGTGTATATACTCGTATGTATCTTCATGGCAATCTGTTTACCAACAATAAGCCACTTCTTTGTTTGATTTCTCAGTTTATGTTTTCTTCAAGAGCCATGATTGTATGAAAATTCATTTCACACGACTCTCTTGATGTCAAGTCTTGTACTTAAGTAATTAATTAAAATATTATTATAATTCAGACAAACTCTGACAAACAAATTCAGAAAAACCCTTTGAAAGTGGAATAAATAAAAAAATAAAAATGGGTTCCGCTATTCGTCATCAAACTATCACCATTAAGCCTAATCTCTTAGACTCGTCAAACCGATTCATACGATATCAAATTCGAGGGGTCTACTAGTAGCTGAAGAGTGCCAATTCCATCTCCAGACTCCATCATATTCTTATCAGTTCCAAGATGTTAATAATAGCATTGTCATCAAAACTAGACATATAATAATAATAATACTTGGCCATCTAACATACAACGCCATCTAGTTTGAACTAACTAGAGCTTGTACTATGAAAGCTACATAGATTGAGTGATAGAATACTTTTATACTTTTTTTTTGTAGATCATACAAACATTTGGTTCGACCCGGGAATCGAACCCGAGACTTCAGCACAGCAGTCGCATACGCTACCACTGCGCCACCGAGGTAGTCATGCATACAACGTTTTATTTACATACGATAATTTTATTACAAGTGGGTTAAAATTGATGTACGAGATTTATTTATATTCCTAATTAATTAGTTATGCAGTCACACTTGAATTTATTAAAAGTTGGCTAAAACAATTACCTGCTCTGGTCTCAGTCCTGGCGGCACCCATGTGTACTCCTCTAGAGCACATCCTGAATCATCATCCGACTGTGAGTGTCTGTGAGGGTCACCAGGCTTCATTAATCTTTCAGCATGTTCAAGCAAGCCTCGGAGCTTTCCTTGGGGTACCGGATGAGGGGAAAGTGACATAGCCGACTGTGGTGATTGCGGCGACTGGTAACTTTGTCCAGGGTTATTCAACTGAGACACAGAATGACTGTGGAGAAGCCCAAATTCTGGGAAGTTCTGGCCTTGAACTGGTTGACTTCTTCTAAAGTTTGGATAAGAGTATGGGTGAGGAGAATTTGATTGGCTTGGTGCTGAAGATCCACTGTGAGATGGTTGTGGTGAGGGGAGGGATGGAAGTAGTCGCGGTGATGTGATTGGTGACGCTGGTGCTGGAGGCGGTGGTGATGATGTTTGCTCATGAATTGGTGGCGGTGATGAACCCGTTGGAGACACCACACAGTTTCGACAGACGGGTCTGGAACAAAGAGAAATTATGTTAGTTTTATAGAAAACTAGTTTTATAATATCAGCCATCGTCTATTTTACATGCTTTTGTCATGAGTTAATGATTTCATTAAGTTAGAACAGGTTAAGAAACTGATCAGGTATTGCAACGACGACAACCCTTCAAGAGGATAATACTTTGCTGCCTGCAATATTTAATGATAAATGTATATTGTAGATACTCATAATCTGCAGATATTATTTTTGTAGCTAATTTTAAATAAAATTTCGAGCACAGAGAAATGTAAAAGTCGGCATTTAATTTTTTACATAAGAAGAAGAATAACAGAAGGGTTAAAATGATAAATTATCCCTTATAAATATTAACTTGATACGGAAAGTCTTTAAAATTCGGTAGATTTCAAGTTATACTGGGCAATGAATTAAAAAAAACATTTGAAACTTAATGACTTATGGCCAAATTCGGTCAATATTAGGCGATCTGAAGTAACTATCATTTACATTAAACGTCATGAAGAAAGACGTAGAAATTATTAGAAATTGCAGAACAACAACAACACAGAACAGCTATCGTGGGAGAGCCATGCTTCTGAACGAATGGGCCGGCTCGACCGGAGTTATACTAAGGCCTCACAGAAAACCGGTGTTAAGCAATTCTTTCGTGGCCTTTCACTGAGTGAGTGAGGTTACCGAAGCCCCGGTAACCTGCTGACTCAAGCCTGAGGAATTCCAAGGGCAGCAACGCACTTGTGACTTATGAGTGCAGGTGTCCATGGGTGGCGCTAGTTGCTCATCATCAGGCGACACGTCTGCTCGTTTGCCCCCTTTTACCATAAAAAAAAGAAAATCACAAGGAATTTCAGTAATTGTTTGTTGGACACAATTTACTCGGCTTTGCTCCTTTATCGAACTATTCCATTTTTATATCGTAATATTTCGTCTTTCCTAGGTGAACTGTACAATGTATGGTAATTAAATTGGTCGATAGCATCAGGTCCAAGGTTCGATTCCATTAATATCGTACCGTGACTCGATCATTGTTGTCTCGATTGATCTATTACACGCCTAATCATTTATCTTTACCGATACAGATCTCGAGATCATTAATTACACCTAATGGAACAGTTGTTTATAGGAATGTTGTTTTGATTGCGGTATGAGACTTTTTAATTATAGGTAAAAATAAAAATAACTTATAATAATAACTCCACACATCTAACACACGGCTGTCTAATCCTAAACTAGGCAAAGCCTGTACTACTGTAACCAGACTGCTGATAAACATACTTATATATTTCTAAATACATACGTAGTTTAGATAAATTACAGGCTCAGAACAAATCACCGTGCTCATTACACAATATTTGTCCTGGGTGGGAATCGAATCCACGGCCTTCGATTTAGCAGTCAGGGTCACTAACCACTAGACATCATCCATACTTTGTGTTATTAGAATGCAGTGAAAAACATTAAAAATATAATTTGTTGAGAGATTTTAATTCAGAAGAATTCTTTGCCGTTCCTGTGCACTTTTCACCAATTTGGCCAACATCACCTCCTCACAATGTCAGGCCGCAGTGTCCCACGCACAATCACATCGGACCATAGACAGAACCATGGTCTCCAGAGAGCGTCAAAGCGCTGCTGCATCCACCTTGACCGCTCTTCTATATGTAGGTACTGATACTTACACTATCAGGCCATGAGCTTAATTTATTGTCAACTCGAAATTCTGGTTTCAGGGAAAATGTTGGTTCCCCAAAATGCCCTTAAAACAAAGTTTTAAGGGTATTTTTGGACCGATATGACCTTCAAATCTTTAAGAAAAGAGCGTACTCGCTTTCTATCAGGTGACCCGCCGGCTCGTTTGCCCCCTATTCCTTAATAAAATAATGGTAAATAGAATCGAATGAAATGGGTCAGATTAAAAGTTGGTGCAGACAGACAGCGGACCTGGACGGATAGAAGATGTTATATATATACTAGCGATCCGACTTGGCTTCGCACGGGTGCAATGTAGATACTACTAATAATACTAATGTGGTGTCAGTGTGGAGTAATTAATTATGATAGGACTAGGAGTATACTACAGGATATCTTTAAATGCAATATTTATAGGCCCGCTCCGATCCTGCCGGCCGCTGCCATCCGGGACGGACGTACGGTTCGACGGTCGCTGGGCCCCCGCATTTTAAACCTCTAATATCTTCTAAAATATTAATTTTAATGATTAATTTAACCTATTATTTTTGTGTTATATTTAAAAGATAAAAATGGTTACTGTGGGTTATCTTTAGGAGATAGACATATTATATACATACTACGGACTTTTTTTGAAGATTTTTTTAAGATATACAATTCCGTAGAACATAATTTGGTCCGTCTCGTAAGGTTTAACAAGCGTTAGCAATGTAAGCGCACAAAAACATGTTTTGTACAACAAATCTTTGAAATTGTCGGCTTTTCTCTATTATAATATGCACGTATTATACATATAAACCTTCCTTTTAAATTACTCTCTGAAAAACCGCATTAAAATCCGTTGCTTAGTTTAAAAGATCTAAGCGTACAACAAAGCGACTTTATTTTATACTACGTAGAGACATGACACGTTATTCAGTGCTAGTAAATTTCAGGTTGGGACAGACAGCGGGTCTGGTCTGCGACTCAGCATGAGCGGTTTGACTCAGCCGTTTGCCATTATACATATTTTATTTTATTTATTTTGTTTATTAGGAACAAAAAACAATTACATTTTAAAGTCTTAAAACTATATATAAATATATTAAAAATATATTAAAAATGGCTATGAAGACGTGTTAGGACGAGTCAGCATATGTGTTCCGGACAGATACGTGTGGCGGCGCCGCCGGCCGCCGCTGCTGGCTGTATATTCATATTATATTATATTCATTTTTAATTAACACTATTGCATTGGGCTAAACCTGTAATAATACAGAGGTAATAAATATTACAGAGGTATAAACACATAATCCACACCATTGTTCACGGATTAATAAGAGGAAATTAGAATGAAACAAATCAGAACATTACTGTAAATGCGCATGAGCGCAGACACTAGGTGCTTATATGTAAATGTGCAAGCACGATACATTACACTTAAGTTCAGATCTAAAAAATACATATGATACAATATATTCGCATTATATGCAGTTGGCAAGGCGATTAATAATTTAATAGCGCAACATTTGAATTGGTTATTAGAAAGAGCAAAGATATCAATGTCAGAGAAATACTTGTTGTACGTCACTACCAGCCGTCGAAGAGGTATGCGGACACCGGCGTTAGTTCTGCATGATGTTGTGTGAAAAAGTTGGTATTGCCGCACACCTCGACGACGGACTGTTCTGGGTATAGAGTAACATATTTCATTTGTGATGGCTGAGCAGTCAAATCTATTATTGGCATCAAGAATTAGACGTCTAGATTCTAGGCTTAGAAGATTAAAATGATATTGACATATTGTTACTGTTCTTGTCATATTTATTGCTTGTACAATTTTGCAAAACTGAATTGGAACACTTAACTTTTCTAAAGAGCTCACCACTACCATTACCTTTTATTCATTGGTTTTTAGATCGAGATATATATTGTTTTAAGTCATCCGTGTTATGAAAAAAAAAATGTTTATGGCTGTATTTATTCTACGAAGTTAGGCATTAATTTGAAGCTTTTCAATAATTACCAAAATATAGTCCCCGAAGCACATTTTAAGCAAAATTCATTACCATGGTCCTTCTGGTTTAAGTCAATTTTTAATACACTTAATACACACTGAATTTCGTCAAAATTAGTTCAGTTATATAGGCGTAGAGACAGACATACAGCTAATTTCAAATTTATAGTATTTTAGCATGGATGAATTCAGCGTATTTTATACAATCGACAAACTAAATACATTGTCGGTAGCTATAATTTGAAAATATCAACACACAGCACACTATTCACCGTGTCGTCCATCTATGGTTTTACAACATACTCATGCCATAAACTATTCCATTATATGGTGTTATGAACAATTTACTGCCATCACCATAAACCTGCAAAAGCAAATTTGCAAGAAAGTTTCCAAGATACCGTTTGTCTACTGGTTAGTAACTTCTTCATTGATTCGATTACAGGAGATGAGTATATTGAGGCACTTGCAACGCTTTGTTTATTGCAGGTACCCGCTATGTGTACCCGCAGAGTGTTGCTGCCTTCCCTAGCACCTCCAATATTCATATTTTGGAGTCGTTGTCCAACCATATCCTTTCGTAACTTTCTCCCATTTCTTACACTTTCATCCTTGTCTTTTCTCTCTCTCTCTTATACATTGCACTTGCAGTCTCTGCTGTTTGCTATAAGTTTTCTTTATTATTTATTCATATTTACATGTTTATAGGGTTTACATTTGTTTATATATTATACTATTTTGTAGATGCACTTGCAATGTTTAGTTTCAACTGTGATTAAGTTCGAAAATGAAATTTACAGTAATATTTATAAGGCACAGATAGTCATAAGGTCCCGCAAGATAAACATATTACAGATAAATTACAGCCAAACACAGAACAAATGATCGTACTCAACACATGATATTTGTCCTAGGGGAGAATCAAACCTCGACCTCTAGCTTAGCAGTCAGGACCACTAACTACTTACTGGATTATATTCAACCCCCGACGCAAAAACGACGGGGTGTTATAAGTTTGATGTGTCTGTTTGTGTCTGTCTGTAGCATCGCAGCTCCCGAACGGATGGACCGATTTTGATTTTGTTCTTTTTTGTTTGAAAGGTGAATTAGTCGAGAGTGTTCTTAGCTATATTTCATGAAAATCGGTCCAATATGGCCGCTGCCATAAAATGGCGACATATATATTTTGTCACAACTTCCTCAATATGAGTTTCAAATGAAAGGGCTTGACTAGTAGAATACTATACACTATGACTTTCAAATCCAAGATGTGACTCGAGGTTTTTATTATTTTTAATTTATTGCTGTATGCATCTTCACTGTACGAGTAAAAGCTAAATCTGAAAACAGTTGAAAGATGTACATCGTCATCATCATCATCAACAGCCTTTAATAATCCACTGCTGGACATAAGCTTCTCCTTAGAAAGGAGGTTTCTGCCTACTATGATGAAAGATGTACAAGTAAATATTATGTTATTTTATTTATAAAATAAATGGTGCCACATCATTACAAAAAGGTTTATGTCATAATAAAAAAAAAAACCTAAAATTTTTGGAAGTCTACATGCCTTGCATACCTATTTGCAGGCATTCGTGAAAATAACCTCTTTCGAGAAACATTTAAACTGAACATCTAAATAATTACATCTGTCATAAACCCAAGATAGAGCTGCCACTAAGCGAAACCATCCAAGCAAGCTAGTGCCACAGTCATCCGTCAAACTAGCCTTTGATGCCGGCTCACCAACCGACACCGCAGTCCTACCGACCGCTATCGATATGATCTCCACGAGTTAAATACTCGATACGATCGCATATCGAGTATTGAATCGATACATCAAATTGCCAGTAATTGCTCAGTAGATGCCGATGATATAAATAAAAGAGCGAGATTCTTCAAGGTAGATCTGGTCGTATAATTTTATTATGCTGTGTCGTATGAAATGTGATTTGTAGTCTTACTTAATGGGTTGTCTAAAGTATCAAGGCCAGAAAGGTATATTATCCCTGGGTACTATAGACTATTTTTTACCGCGATAACCTACACGCAAGCGGAGCCGCGGGCAAAAGCTAGTTTTATTTAAACTTTGCAACTTCATACATGTATAGACTAGGTACTCCAGCAGGTCCATAATTTTAGTGATTTGTCATACGTACTTTTTTTTGCTTTCGACACATTACTGTTTCAATTAAATGTTGCCCAAAGTAACGGTAGATATATAGGGCATAGAAATAACAGTGAAACCAAAACGCTACCCTGAGGTACACCAATTTTTTTGCAGTTCAATATAACTTTGTTTTATAAATCTTTTTCAAATCCTTTCTGTTCATATTGTTTT